TTTATAATCAGAACCCGGCATTATATAACCCCTTTAAGGATTTCAGGCTGTAGCTCACATTGCTTGGTGATCCAGGAAAACTATGGTGCGCGTGCAGTTATGCCTTTTATCTAAGTATGCCCCCTGACGATGGACTCCTTCCCGCGGGGAACAAGCCCAGAAGTTCTTAAAGCGCTGCCCAATTTTGGGGCCCTGGAGATCTACCTCATAAATCTTGTCACTCTAACCCACCCCAGACTTAGTGGTCACTGTCACTCAAAGTAATTCTCGCAAAGTCTGATTTCAACAAAGGCACGCACTCCATGCTGCACTGCTGCATGAAACGGCACCATGCAAGTTTGCATTAAAGTGTAATGTTGCCAAAGCGTGATGTTGAACCTCCTGATCCTCATATATGGACCGTATACTTTGCCTCAAATGCATCTCAAAAGGATTAGCTTTATACCTTGGATACTGAGGATTCTCACTGGGGCACTCCTCGAAACCAAAAGGCACCACGGTGAAGATTCTAAGTAGAGTGCGGGTCAAGGTGCCCTTGGATGACAGTGTCTCTAGGTTTCTCAAGGTAAGGGTACATGCGAGCCACAGTTTACACTCCTAGTATGCCCGTTAATAACCGCTATCATAGTCCCCTATATAATCCCCTGTGAAACCCCTTTAAGGAACTTAGACTATAGTACATGCAGTAGTCTTGAGGCACGCATCGGGGGAGTCAAGAATTGCACAAGTGGCTGCTTGGAGAATTGCTAGATCGGCTCCCACGTTGAAACCATCTAACGTTTATCCTGCTGTCATGTGTAGGCTCTGAAAGACCCGGAACGGAAAAATGGTTTGATGCAGAAATGTTTCAGGGGCTTTGGGGTCCAGTACCTTGACAAAATCCGAGGATTACACCCTAGAAGCCCTATGTCTGGTTATATAAAGGTGTTCAAGGGTTTAGGGATACTGTCCCCAATCATGGAGAATCAAATGGAGAAGAGACTGGAACATGGATTCAACCTAGTTAAGATGATTTATCAGTGTACAGGCGCTCCCTGACCCGCTTGTAAATGAGTGGACGCTAAAATGTTGGTTGCCCCTCATGCCTAGACCAGCCTAGGCCCTATAGAACTCAGAAGCCCAAGACCCTACCGCCTCCTCGGAGACCTGTGAATATGGAGCCATAAGTAGCCGCTAAGCCGCTAAGTAACTGCTAAAGATGCAATCTTCACCAAAGGCGTGACAAAGCAAAGCTGACCTGAACCCTAAGTTCTCATTCTCAAACCCTAACTCAGCATCCCCACATCCTGATTATCGCCCTTATCAGTCCGTTGCGCCACAGTCGGGATTCTTCGCATATCCGTTCCGAAAGAATAATGATACGGAGCGAGCAGCCATGCGCGATGAGTGCCTTCAGAGCTCCAGCGCCAACTTCAAGCTGGCTTTTTGTTCAGAAGCGGGTTGACGTTCTGCCGGAAACCTCGGACGGAGAGCCTTTCCTCCACCATGCACTTCAATCTTTACCAGGCATCATGCAGCTAGAGCAGTTTATGAGATTTGTGTTTCTGAGTTTTCTGCAGGCTTCTGAGCCACGAGGCCTTCCCACAAACACTAGTCGCGTCGCACTATGGGAGGTACAAGCTCATGCGATGATGTCACCTGCAACAGAAATCTGCACAGCAGCATTTTTTGGTGGTTGAACCCAGTGAGATGATATGCTTTTATATGAAACACGATACCCGACATGAGGATATAATCTTACTCTATATTGGGTACCATCAGTCGGTCAGCCCATAGTATCCCCAAATGCAATGCTACTCAGCAGGCGTACTGGTGTTGGATGTCAGATCTTTTTCTATGTATCCTCCCACAGACTAGCAAGCAGGGACAGAAGTCTATCTATGTGGGCCTGCCCGTGAGGTTCCAACATGCATTCTAAAAATCCCCTGTATATATACGCCATCATAGAACAAGGAGAAGATTAATGAGGGCCTAACGAAAATTCTAAACCGTAAGCCCGAAACCTAGGAGGGTAGTGGGGGGCTTTCTCAATAGGGGAGGGGATTAGCCTGGAGGAATGCAGTGTTGGAAGTCAAGATTCCCACAGCATTCCATCATAGCCTCTTCAGCTCTCTTTAGCGACTTTTGCTATCAATACTCATTACTGTTAGCACTACTACCACTGCTACTACCCCTACTCCTACTCCGAATGCTACTACTCCTCCTCCTCGCCATTGCGAGCACCTCAACAGCGAAGGAAATTCTGCGAACCGCCAATGCTTGCGTCCAGGCAAGGAGCGATCGATAATTTTGGCGAACTTGGGATCCAGGGCGGCCTGATTGGAAGTGAGATTAGGGGTCACTTCAACACTCAGCCTGAAAGGGCTTAAGTGAACTTGGTTGGGGTTAGGGATTCACTCAAACCCATGTGGTTAACACCATTTCAAACCTTGAGGTCTTCAAGGCTGAATTTCTAAAGTTGAGCTTGATAAACTTCAGGGGGTCCCGTTTCTCTGCCCCGCATGAGAAGACTTTCAATTTTTCGGGTCAGAGGAGGGCGACCCATTTTTTCGAGATGCTGGAGTACCCCTTTTTAGGTTAGGTCAAGATAGGAACATTAGGGCTGAATTCAACGACAGTACATACAAGACATGACATGAAGCAACAGGATCAGTTCTCTTGTTGAAGCACCCACCAGCAAGGTCTGCATGTAATGGCATTAAGGGGTTAGGTTTAGGGTTCAGGGTTTAAGGTTTAGGGAATAAGCAAACATGTAACATGGCCGACACCCAAAATGGCAGGAAAGCACCTCAGCTGGAGAGAGCAGGGTGCCTCGAACCCCAACCTCGAATCCTTAACACCAACCGGCAACGGGAGTCTTGTGCATAATAGCCGGAATAAGAATAACAAGAATAACAAAGTTAACAGGAATAGCCGTGATATAGTAAAAAGAATGATAACAACGATAACACAGACTGATGTCCCTTCGTCGGGTTCCATGTGTGTTTGGAGGGGAAGGCAATCTAAGCATCCCCTGAACCCTTGAGTGTTTCCGTGGAGGAGGACACATCCCCCTCCCTGGGGGGACTGCAATGGAGCGCTACACAGAACTCTAGAAGTGGGGAAAGTCAGGGACGATGGGGTTGAAGACAGCGTTACTTAGCAATCTCTGCAGAAAGTAGAATGCTTCATTTGGGACGACCAACTGGAAGATTTAGCCAAGTTGGGAATTGGCCGGTTGCACTTCGTCTCCAGAGCTAGACTCAACACAGATCCCCCAAGATACCTGACATACTGAGCCTGCTTCATGTCTACGCAGGCGTAGTGCAGTACAGAAATGTTATGTACAATAGCAACTATGAGGGACTATGGGATATTGCCTGCTCATAACTTGGGCGTATCTTTTCCTACTTGATTTGAACGACCCAAAACTAGCTTTTGATCGCAGTCTTTCTGTGTGTCCAAAAACATGCGGACCTGAGGTTCCCTTCCCTGCGACGCATCCTTTACTTTAGAAGGCAAAGTCTTACGAATTGTTGTCTAGTCCGAAACGCCACATGCCACCGAATACTACTCAATCCCTACCTTACTGTGTCATGGTGTTGTGTGCTTTGCGCAGATACTTATTACAAAACCGGGGGGAGGGGGGGGGGGAATCAATCAAATTTCAATGAGCCTCAGCATCGCCAGCTTGACGTTCTCGCTTCAACCGTGCCTCGGGCAAGGCTTTCGAGTTTCAAGCGCCAGGGATCCTCCTAAGATCTGCTCATAGTTTTTATCAAAAAAAAGAGAAAGCAGGAATGAGCAAGGTGTCTCAGATTTACTGCATGCTTACTAAGGTTCTAATGTCAAGGACACCGCTGTCCAGAACCCTACCCCAACGTAGCCGCTACAAAGCCCAAGTAGGGCGACTTTGAGCTCTGCAGCCTCTGCTGGAACCAATTTTGGGGATGGACCCTCACGAGCTGAGCCATAGTCTAAACTCCTAGTATCCCCAATAATAAGCTCTATAACGCTCCCCTAGATAATCCCCTATAATAGGCGGCGCACCCAGGGAGAATATTTTTGATGGCCTTGAACTCAGCTGCTTCTTTCTTCCCAGCACTATTCTTCTGCTTTTTCTTGTCCTTGGCCTGCAGCAGGCGTGCAACTTGACCCCAAGGAGCGCGATTCTCAACAGTGAGGGTTCATTATTTTGTATACACCGGGGCTAAATTCTACGAAGTATCAGCCTTCATGACCATAAGGGTAACAGCAACAGTGACTGTAGCGCTACAAAGGCTTGTGGACCAGGATGGCCCAGAACAGCTTTTAGAGCGCCGGCCATCGAGCCTTTTCGCAACTCCACAAACAACCTGGACGGGATAGGTGTACTTCAGGGCCATACTTTACATCCGCCATGTCGCTAATATACATACACCTAGCAGGTCTCGGAAGGTGTGGATGACAAGTGGGCACCATACGAGGCTCAAACGCATGGACTGTACTTCCTGTCGACTTCGAAGTGGTCATTCACCTTGTCTGGGTTGCTGTTGAGGATCTTAACCTTCTAACTTAATCTCTGCTCCCTAAGATTGCCTACAGACACCCTTTCAGGCCCTGTACACGCACCATAGCTAATTGACAAATGAAAGGTCGCATGGGCGCCCATGAATTCCTATGATTTCGAATTTACATGTTGATGCAGATGCCGAACTGACTAGAATAGTCCTCTGATACATGCTACCATGTAAGAGAGGAACACCCTATCTGAATGGTTCAGTTGCAAAGGGTCATCAGGAGTCTTCAGGTAGCTTTCAAGGTATACTATACCATCATCATCATCATCATCATCATCATTGTCATCTACTGAAAGAGTAGGGGAAAGTGGGAGCGTGGCGTGGCTGCTCCGGCTCTTCAGCAGGCACCTTTTTATCCTTCTTGCTCTTCTTTTTGTCTTTTTTCTTTTTCTCCTGGGCTGGGTGCAAAGCCAATGAGAGGCTGCTTGGGGCGTTGCAAGAATCCGGAGTTTCTTTTGCGGCTTTACACAGGGGCCATATGACGTCCAAGCAGTGAACTCAATGCTGGAAGCCTTGCACTTGTATTGCAGCCGTCCTAGTAATGTGCAAAATGCACAATTTTCAAAAGCAGAACCTAGAGTCTCGCTTTTTCCGCTTGGCCGACGCAGTAGAGGAGGATGAGCTGCTATCTTCATCTGACGTCTGCTTGACCTTCTTATGTAAAGAAGCGGCGCTCAAACTTAGGTGACCTTGGAACTAAGACTGCTACTGCTCTTGTGTGAAAGAGGAAAAGCCCAAACCAAACATCTCGTCACATGAGCCAGAGTCTAAACTCCTTCAAGGGGGTTATATAGGGGATTATGTAGGCGAGTTATAGGGCTTATTGAGGTGGATACTGGGAGGTTAGTCTATAGCTCACGTGTGTACTGCTGGCTTTTGGCCAGTAAAGCCTTCTCCTGGGATTGGCTGGCTCCTTTCTCGTCCACCTGGTGCAAGCTGTTTTAGACTTGCAAAATTCAGGAGTACCTACTCCTAGTATCTCCCTTGATAACCCCTATAACGCTTAACGCTCCCCTATATAATATTCTATATAGTACTTGTAATTCTTGTACATCCTCTCCAGTCTCAGACTGCGAAATTGCAAGGCCTGACTGCGGAAGTTTGCATTTAGGGCCTTGGAGAAAATCCACTACTTCACGCGGGAGAAACACATGATTGCTAGCCCCAGAGGCGTCCGACCCGGAAAACGCTGCTGAACAAGATATGGCCTTACCTAGCAGAGCGGTTCAATCCCATGTCGCGAGGACTTGTGACTTCAAATAGGTCTTTCTCAAACTCATAGGCCTGCATGTTAGTGGCGCGGGGGATGCTTCACAAATGACTATTTCAAGGGCACACTGGCGAACCTGAACTTCAATTTTTTGATAAGGACACGTATGAACCAGATCGATGAGGCGCTGAATTCCTAAGCACACTGCCTATGTTGGAGCAGGGTCTTTCAACTCAAGCATTATTAGCCAATCAGCATTCTGGCAAATGGCACGAGCATGCCTCGTGTTGGAGCAACTTCTTGCCAATGAATGTGTCGAACATCTGCTTCCTCAGCTCTTCCCTGCTGCTGCATTCGGCATGTGGCTGGGCTACGCTGTTGAAAGGTCCATGGGCCAGAAGAAGCCATAAACGATTGAAGTTCACTCACGTGGAATATGTTTTCATGCCATTAATACGTAACAACTAGACAATGCTCAGATACTCAGTGGTTCCTTGCGGTAAGGCGTCGTCACTCCGAAAAAATCCCGCCTCACATGCCAGCTGCTTCCTTCAGTTGAGAGCGATGCCTCCGATTTTGAATTCACTACATAAATCAATCTTCATCAGGCGTCCTGAAACTTGGAAATTATGTCGATACATGGCCAAGTGCAGCAAGGGACATGGTTCCGGCGGGATCTGCAACATGGATCCCCATGGACCATGCTGCTGCTTTTGCTGACCTCTTCGAGTCCAGGTGAGTTGACTTTTACAACCATCAGCGCTTCAGCGTTAGACCCACACCTTCTCGAAGAAAGGATTCTGGATGGAGCTCTCTCGGATAAGGGATGAGGTCAGAACTGGGATGTTTTGTGGTTGTCGGCTTCCAGGGTTTGGCCTGGGGCTTTGGCACTCAGTTTGAGGCTAGCCTTGCTTTTGTTTGAAGGAATCTGTCCTACAGTCCTACAGGCTCCCTTGCACCAAGTTCACTAACCTGATCCACTCAAAGCCATAATCTAACGGTTTTAATCTAACGTTCTGGAAAGAGAGTGGCGGTTGCCGGAGGGGAATAGACGTATCTTGCGCGGGGGTGCTCGGTTCGTATGAGGCGGCTTCCACCACATGTCATGCAGACGAGGAATCGGAAGGAATCGGGATTCAGCAACAAGATCTGAGTCTAAACTGACGCAAACACTCAAACAATCTCCGTAGACAGAGCAGCTGTAGCAGAGTGTCACAAAGTGTTTTTCGTTGCTCGGTGTAGAAGAAGTAAAATTAAGCCCTTCAAAACTGCTGCGATGAAACTGATAATCATAACTGCGATGGTGTTCGATCACTGTCGATCATTTGAGCCATGCTCCGTGTTCAATAAGTACGCAACACGCGCTCTGACTCCTACATGCCACTTCTGCAAGTTGATTAGTATGACAGATTTGTCCATGGACGGATCGTTTTTCCCTACCTCTATGCTAAATGTAAGATGTTCAATGATGTCTGGCTTTTGACTCAGACCGCGCTGGTTCACCCTGAGCCCTAAACTCGAAATAGCAGTTTCCATTTTCCATTATCCCTATATAATCCCCTATATAACCCGAATATCTATACTATAACCCATTATTGTAATTTCCATGTTCTTCTCCATTATCCCTATATATCACCCTATATTATACCCCTATATAACCCCAACATAACCCCATATAGGACCCTAATTTTGGGAAACCCCCCATGTCATACCCATAGATTAAACCCCTAAGCCTTTCTGCATTCTTCTCCAGCGTAGCTCCAAATTGAGGCAGTTTCTCCGTAAACGAGTGCTCGAAGTCCATGGCAAGGGTTTAGGGTTTAGGAGTTGGGGTTTAGGGTTTGGGGTTTAGGGTTTGGGGTTTAGGGTTTGGGGTTTGGGGTTTAGAGGTTAGGGTATGGGGTTTAGGTTTTGGGGATTTTTGGTTTACTTCAAGGAGCCCTGGGGTTGCCAAAGGTTCAGGAAGCAGGCTGAATACATTTTGGTTCTTCGCAAAGATTATGGGACCCTCATTTGGGAACCACCCATTGGGCTTCAACAGTCATCTGCTAGGCATGTCTGAGCCACGGAAGGCGAGTTAGGGTTGAGGGTCTTGAGTGCATGGATAAATTCTGCAGTTTCCACCCTGTACGTCCAGGAGGATCAGTCAAACGCTCTGCCTAAACACTACCCAGAACCTCCGATGTAGTTCCTCTTTGGGTAGTATATTGCAACCCCTTACCCAAAAACCATAACAAACCCCAAAAGGAACTACATAGGAGCCTTTGGGTAAACCCTGAGACCCCAAGGATGCCTTCCTCACATGGTCCCAAAGGAGCCTCTAGGACCGAAACCGTGATCCTAGAATGGCTCAAAACATCACGAGTAACCTCCGAAGGCCACCGGTGACTGCTGTGGAGCTTATGGTTCGATGCTTGGATGGAAGTCCTAGGACATGTTTTCCTTGGTTGGAAAAGCATGCTTTCATTTTACGAGCAAGGGGCGCCAGATGAAAGATGGATTTGGTGGGGGGGTTGAAGGCTCTCATGTACTTGGCAAGCACTGTTCGGACACACTCTACTAACTCATGCGCCTGGAGAAGTAGAATAGGTTTTGGGGCATATCGTACAACACATTTCTGCGAAGACCAAGAGGCGGATAACGTTCCTCACTATTTGGTAGTTTGCTTAAACAAGGGGACCCGAATGCATTATAGTCCTTTTTTATGGGGACCTCCTAAATGGCACCCTATTTTTTGGACACCCCATTTAGGCTTCTAACCCCAAACCCTAACGAGTTCGGCTTCTACATTGTTCACACCTTCATCCTGGATGACCCTCCCGCCAGGTCCAAGCAAGAGCATGTCTCCTGCGGGTCGACGCATTTCTGTCTTGGCACCTGAAGAAGCCAGGTTGTTGTTTAGGAACAGTTACCATAATATGAGTATATAGTAAATAATAGGGTTCCCTTATTGGGTAACTTGAATTAAGTTCCTTAAAAGCAACGCAAAAACAGCAGGGCTACCAGCAAGAGACCTGCGCAGCACCGACATGTACCATGTATTTGGGGGCGGCTGGTTTCGGAGACCACCATGGAGCACACACACATAAATGAAAAAAAACAGCAACAAGCAACTAGCAGTGAGAAGGCGATCATTCGACCGGCAAATTTCGAACACCGAGCTGTAATAGCTTGAGAAGGATAGCGAACAGGCCTTCATGCAACACATTCGCGGGCAACGACTAGAAGTTGTAGTCCTGTGTGGCCACTTCGCATCCTCGAAGCAAAAGATCTAAGTTGATCTAAGTCTTAAATCTCGGGTGGAAGGATGACATCTTGCACCACACTGTTCAATTACATCATACCCTAGGAATTACAGCATTATCCGGGTTTTGAGTGAAGCAAAATACCTATCTATAGAATGGTGAAGCTGGCCAAGCGTGAACTTTGTGACTTGCATCTGAGGGATGCTCCGGCTCCAAATGCACAAATAATCCCCGCATTGGGCCCCAAAGTCTGTAGATATTACCTACATTGGGCTATGTGGATCCCTAGGGAATTCCGTCTCCCGAAAACCCACCTTTCACCTTGCCTTTCGCAGAGCCTTCGCGGTCTTGCGCGTGCCAAGTATACAACAATAGTTTGCCATATTGTCGTTAGTTGCTATAGGATTCAAATGCGGTCTGCTTCAGAAGAACCTGTCATCCGTTTGGGGGCATGGTTCTTGGGGAAGACATTGCCCAAGCAACCTCGTAAGGCCCATCTCAACAATTCCAATATCCATTCAGATAACCCCCATGGCCATTTTTTTCGGACCTTTCGCCGCGCTTGTGCGCACCACGCACACCAGGAAATGAACACTGGGAACCCATGATATGAACTCCGCTTATAACAAGCAAAGCAAAGGTTTTAGCACAACCCTTATCTTTTTTGGGTGGCGGAGCTGATCCCGAAGGCGATTTGTCATGCTTGTTGCGACTATCATCCCAACGTCTTCGAGAATCCTCGAACTGCAACACAAAACTATAATTCTGGCATTGGCCAATGCCTCAGGGTATTGTAAGAGTGGTGTTGTTGCATGTGCACTACTACCGTGCAGCTCATTAGACCAAGCCCGCAACTTGCAACCAGACCAGTAAACCTCTGAAGCTTCCCCCCAAACCCCTACTCCCCCTACGCCCTAAGCTTGTCCTAGACCCCTTTTCCCTGCACCTCCTCAAAGTTTAAAGCCCACCCAAACATGCCCCGTCTTTGCTGTGCCTCGTGGAGTGTGGGGCCGCTGCGGCCGCCAGGCTCTCGCAAGGTTCCGGACCAGGCGCTGCTGTGCCTGAAAACATTCATGGGCCTTTGCAAGAAGAAGTTGCCCTTTGACACTACCCACGAAGCGAATTGTAGGAACCCAAAGCGGGACCCACATCCTTTGCAAGCTCCCATTCTTTGCCCCTTGCTGTCCTTTGCACATCCTTTCAGGCTACGGGATTGAAGATATCCAGTTTGGGGGATTGGAGATTTAGAGATTTAGGGCACAGCCAGTGTTTTGAGCATGGTCGTACATTGGGCTTATTCTGGGCTTCCCTCACATCATCCAGAAGCTCTTGTTACGCAAGCCCTTTGAAGTGAAAGCTTGTCCGGGCTCAGGGTTGAAAGTCTACCCAAAGGCACCTATGTAGTTCCTTTGGAGGTTTGTTATGGTTTTATGGTAAGGGATTACAATATACTACCCAAGGAGGAACTACATGAATATTGTAACCTCTTACCAACAAACCATAACAAACCCCAAAAGGAACTACATAGGAGCCTTTGGGTAAAGCTACAAGAAGCTACGGACCAGCAACTTTAGGCTCGCTGTGCCCTTGCCTTGGACTCTACAATTTCTCGTGTGCCAGGGCCCTAAACCCTACAGACCCTGACCCCTAGACCCCAAGGCCATGTAAACTTATCACTACTTAGGGTTCCCAACTCTCCTTCGTTCCAATGTTACTCAAGCTGAAAAATCCGCCCCCCCAAACCCTAAGTCATGGTAAGAAATCCTGAACCCTAAACCCTAAACCGCCAACAGGGCGCCAGAATGGCAGCTGCCGCCCCCGTGCCCCAGGACGCGAGCGCAGCTCGGCAGGGGTCAGGGCCTGCGTTGGTTCCAGAAAATGTACCAGGGCCCTCCATGTAATTACGCTTAAAAGGGGGGAACATGGTCCCTAACAGTGGGTATTGAGGGTAGATGGAGGGTCTAGGCATAAAGGGTGATAGGGATGATGCAGTTACAGTTTAGGATTTGCAGTGGTTTGGCGCAGAAGCAGGGTTTGCCGAGAGACGTTGTCGAATGCATTGCGGACAGGCCACCGTGGGCCGGTTGCGGAAGTCTAGCACATTCACCCAGTTGTGCCGTCTAGGGTGGTCAAGCAGAATAAGACATGGCACGTATATGGAGAGGCCATTTACACCCTACGATATATAAAAGTATTAGAGTTGACCCGCTGCTTGCAGCAGCGCAAGATGACCGATTAAGAAGCCGACCGGCTGACAGACCCGGCGAACAACGAACACAATAACATCAGCGAATGATAGGTCGCTAGACTTGATAGACCGACATACGATAATCCACAAACATAAGAAGACCAACAGACTCAGCGACGCAGATTATCAAATCGAGAAATTGACGCACGGCCAAATCGGCAGACGGAGAGACTGACAAATTTGAGAGATCATGACATCGCCAGCTTGACAAACCGACACACAGACAGACCGACGCACCAACAGCCTTACGATAGTCTGGTTGATGGAAAGATTGATAGCTTGATAGACCTACGGATCTTCTTTTTCAGACCGCTTGATGGATAGATTGTTAGACTGAAAGACCGGCGATCAGACGGATAGACAGACTTCAGAGAACGTGAGATCGACAGAGTGAGAGACCGACACATACGACAGAACATAGACGGGCAGAAAGAAAAACTGACAGTTCCACTGACAGACTCATAGACCGACAGACTCTGAGACTGACAGACGACAGACCATCAGAACGGCGGACCCATGCTGAAGGGCCCTGTGACGACAACATGCGTCTCAATGCAAGAACTCCCTTGGTAGGTCTTCGATGCTTTTGGTACTGCCCCCCCACGATTGCTCTTTCCAGTCATGTCGAGGATGGCCAGCATGACGGGGGTAGTCTCATTCACAACATGTCTACCCTTGAAGTACTTCTGCTGCGGTTAGGATGGCACTGCCGACTGTCAAAACCCTTGCCTTGTCACAGATGGTACTAACGCAACGTATCTTTACAGGATGCTTTCAACTTCTGATAGAACAATGGAAGCGGAAATCCCGAATGCAGACATCAACATTTCCAGCTTGGGAAAGGTCTGAGAGCCAGCAGCACACGGGCATGCCTCCTTGCCAACCGTGGGCTGCAGACACCTCCATGCGCAGGACTTGCATTCATGCAAGCACTGAAAACGATGCAAGGGCCATGGCCTTGAAGCACAGACGGGCCGTTGGCACAAATATTGTGGTTCTGTAACGGACCTTGGACCCAACAACCCGCAGTAGGGACTCTGGAGGACTTAGAAATGCCATTGCAAGGCAAGCTTCAAACGCGGAGGGCGCTACTTGAACCAACTTCAACTTGGCATTGGCTAGTCCGACAACTGCTTTCAATGCTACTTTAGGTATTCTTGCAGCATTGTCCGCCTTGGCCACTAAAGGCATCCAAGGGCCGCAGAAAGACCCCCAAAAAGGAAAAGTAGCTTAGTGCGTGGTGAGCCCAGAAATCGGTAGGTTTCCCCCATTTGGTGCGCCTTGGTGCACGCTTTGCGCGATAGCGTGGCTCCTCAGGCGCAGCAGAGAAAACAAACCGCGTTTCGAATTTCGGGTTCAGGGCTTGGGGCTTTAAGGCGTCCTGACTTTCAGCTGTTGACTTCAGAAGCTTGTTCGAGAGCATAGCAAACTAAGCTCGCAGCTGGCCCGGCAATCGGTAATGCCACCTCCTTCGGGCGAGTTAAGGGTTTTGGGGTAGAACTTTTGGGGTCAAAGTTGGGCCTACATTAGGGTTCACACGCCCGAAGTAGCCTGACCTATACCATTCTGTGGATCTAGCCCAAACTAGGACCAACATGTTGATATGATCATTCGAGCTGCTGGAAGGTGGGAAATTCTTGTTCCGCACACCTGTGTGAAGCTAAGGCTGAAGATATGAATGTTTCCCCAAAAACAGGACCTCAACGGAGACCCCCAAGCACTATAATCCTGATTTTAGGGAGCCCCAAAATGGTACCCCTAATTACGTGAAACCCCAACCGCAGAGCGTATATGGAAGTTTCCAAAATCGTGTGGGGGGGAAGGGGGGGTGGCTTTTAGACACCAATATACTAAAACTCTGAATATGGGAACCCCCAACAAACATCCCTAGTTTTTGGAAACCTCCGTATGTGTGTACATATATATAGATATATATACGAGGTCTCACACTTTCTCTGTTGCCAATTATAGTAAGTTCAGGTTTCCAAGCTTGAATCTTGCATGATCCTAAACATACTTTGGTACCATAATTCCTAAATAGTGTCATCCAAGATTTCTTAGTAATCTCCTCAGCCTTATGGTGACCCCTACCCCACCCTACCCATAATGAATCTCCCCAATCTGGGGAATTGTTTTTATGTGGGGTGCAGTAGGTGGAAGGTTCACTTTCCGTACGAGAAGATTCGCAAACCCTAAACCGAAGTTTAGACTTCAGAGTTTACCCAGACCCTCTTATGTAGTTCCTTTTTGGGTAGTATACTATAATCCCTTACCCAAAATCCATAACAGACCCAAAAAGGAACTACATAGGAGCCCTTGGGTAGGGCTTGAGGATTGGGGTTTAGGCTTGAGGGCGCAGGTGTGGGATGCACGTGTAGTTAGGTTTGCGGGCTCATGGTTTAGGTTTAAGTCTGAGGTTTTGAGGCTTTGGGATGGAGGCTTATGTTTGAGTGCTAAGGTGCAGGCTTGAGGGCTTAGTGCTAGAGGTTTAAGTAGGGCTGAGCTTCAGGTTTGGCATTTGGGGCTTGACCCTAAACCCGAAACCCTAGGGTTTCCGTTGAGGTTTGAGGGTGCAGGGTTTAGGTCTGAGAGGTTGAGGAGCGTTTAACTTGAGGGCTTAGGCTTAGGACGAATTGGTTTAGAGAGGTCTTGCAGGGGCCTCTATGGAACTGCTGCAGTGCCCGGTGGCAATTCCCTGGTTGAGAGTTGGAGCCACCGACTTCCCAGCGCTGATAAATATCTAGGCACATTTATGGAAACAGCTCCGACATCTTACATGAACAGGCTAGAACCCCTCTTACACATAGACCATTGATTCAGGGCGCCTATAACTTGAGACGCCCCGAGACCTGCACACTAGTCCCTCAGCCCTTCATATCCCGCCTCATATATCACCCTAAACCCTTAACCCTTAGCCTAAACCCCTTGTGGGACTTAGCCTAAGCTACTGTTCCCAAGATCGGGGAAATTGATATAGAGACCGTCTTGTAATAGGACCCCACTATTTAGTGGCCTGTATGAAGGAAATTCACATATAGCTCTTCCAACACAGCCCCAAATCTCTCAACGCCCTACACCCTAAACCCCAAACCCTAAACCCCAACCCTAGACCCCAAACCCCAAACCCCCAAACCCCAAACCCCCAAACCCTAAACCCCAAGCTCTCCTCTGGAGCCGTGGCCGGCATCGATCGGCCACCATGAGCATCCTGCAGCCTTCAGCGCATGGAGGTTCACCTATAAGGGGGGTTGGGATTTAGGGTTTAAGGGTTGGGTGTAAGGGTTTAGGGTTTAGGGTTTAAGGGTTTAAGGGTTGGGGTTTAGGGTTTAGGGTTTGGGATTTAGGGTTTAAGGGTTGGGGTTTAGGGTTTAGGGTTTCGGGTTGAGGGTTTACGGTATAACAACCCCAAAAACCCATGTGAGCTAGAGCCTTTGAGGGGGTTATCTAGGGAAGTGGGTATTATAGGGGGGGAGTTTAGATTGTAGCTCATGTAGGATCCGAACTGCTGGTCGTACCCTACTACGTTTGCGACATTGGGGAACTTTGATAGGTTGGGGCCATGGCAGGCGCCTTCTGTATGAATGTTCTGCCCAAAAACCCTAAGCCCCAAACCCCTACAACCCAACTAAACCCATATACTCTAAACCCCAAACCCATAAATCTAACTAAACCCCAACCCTAAAGGCCAACTAAATTTGTATATTGTAAAACCCAAACCCTAAAGTCTAACTAATCCCTCAAACACTGAGGGGATATCCTACACATTCAACCCGTTGGACCCCTCATTTTGGGAACCTTCTCTTTCAACGGTCGTGTCCGTTTGAAGAGCGCGCCTCTAAAGAAAAAGCTCACAAGTCCAGAGCATTAAAATGATACCTACCAAATGTGCAGAATGGCGTCAATCCTCAACACAGCTCCTGTAGTCCCCCTTATGCTTGCCATAGATAGGATCCTTCTGGTGGCCCTCACCTTGGGTTCTAAAGAAGGAGGGGACTTCATTCCCCATGAAGCAGCCGCACTTCATGAGGGATACAGTAGCTACATATATCCTTACATAATCCCTATATAACTCTATATAGTCCCTGTAGTTTCCATTTTCTTTTCCAGTATCCCTATGTAATCCCTATATATATATATATATATAAGTAAGGACGTAGTCCATTGCAGCGCTTTGGGCGCAGACTTTACCTTCCCTCATCTTCAAGCCCTGCCCGGCTTTCACCATACAAAGTATGCAGCCGTGATCCGCACCGACACATTCTGAACATATAGTCCCCCTTAAGTAGGTAGAATATGGGGTATATGGGGATCTTATTATAATAGACTCAAAGCCATATTCTATCTACTGGGGGACTATATTCTCGCCTGCTGAAGCCTGATGTCGGAAACCTCCAAGCTTTCAACCCGGATCCGCTGCAGTAATATGGAGCAGTCAGTCTCGCAACTGCCGTATCCTTCGCAGACCTACAAAAAGAGAAGCACCCTCCGCAATGATGCGCTAAAGGCAGTGAAGCAAAACGCAGCTGAATAGCGACAGCAATACCAGCTGTAGGGAGGGCTCAGGTAACACATACGACCAACATCCCAAAGAAGCACAGCAACATCAACACCACCTGCCAGTCTCCCAAGCCCAAAACCTTAAATCATGACACCCCCCCACTCTAACGTTGGATCTATTGGCCCTGAGTATGGGCCCTTGATCCAGTCTCCCAAGCCCAAAACCTTAAAGCATGATACCCCCACTCTAACGCAGGATCTATGGGCCCTGAGTATGGGCCCTCGATCCAGGGGTCTGTATATACCTATGTTTAAAACCCCAGAAGCCCAGTTCAGGGCCCGTAGCTGGATCCAGGAAATAGGTAGAGGCCCATATGAAGGGCCCAGGGTTAGGACCTTAGACTAAACCCTAGGGAACAGAATAGCAGAATGTAGGTAACATCTACAGACTTTAGGGCCCAATGTTGGTATTGCGTGTATACGTGAAAACCTTGCACAGCTTCTTTACAAACCCAGTTTCCATGTCAATTTTAATTTTGTTGTCCGTTTGATACTCCGATATCGGAGTAAGATCACCGTAAACCCACCACTTTGCTTTCACCCACAACTTTCAATCCTAGACGCTAAACCCTAAACCCTAAATCCCTAGTACCAGGCCCTAAGCATTAAACCCTGAGCCCTAAACCTTAAATCCCAAAACAACCAATGCGGGACCTGCTCAAGCCCAATGGACCGTGTAAGCTTCCAACCAGTCGCGGCTAGAACTGCCAAACGTCGAGCGCATATCTGACAGGTAGGGTTTATAGGGTTGAGGTTTAAGGACATTAATGATCACATCCCGGCGGTATGACAGTGGTAACATGATAAAGAGAACCAACGGTATTTGGGCTGCTGAGACTCCTAGGCAACAGCCCTTGCCATAGAACTCAGGTTTTGGCTTGATCCGTTTCCTACCCTGCATCTACTTCAAATCTTCATTCGTCTCGCCAGGTGAGCATGGTGTGGTAGATTCTGCTTGTTGTGTCAGGAAGTCACCACGGCATCAAGTCCATCCAGCCTTGCTAGTGAAGGCTTCCATCAGCAAGCCTAAAAGAAGTGGGGAAGAGAACGCTAAGGATCCCATAAAAATCTCAACAACCACTCGCCCAACTTGAAAAATCCCTCGAGATGCTACATCCTAACCATTCCTGACCTATGTTGCTGTCTGAATCTGAATCTTGGGACAAACGCCCCGAAATGAGCAGAATCACCGACCCCAGTTTGAGCCGCACGCTACCACGAACTTGAAGCCTGAAGCCCACCTGCTTGTATCACGGGGTTGTCGCACAAAAAGTTCTGTCATCACCAAGGCAAGGGCCCCGAACTTTTCCCAAGCCTACAGGATTCCAGGATTGCCCCAGGATTCAGGGACAAATTGGCAAGGGTGAGAGCAACTTGCCGTGGAAGCCATATTCCTCAATGAGAGTGGGAAGATGGTCATCATCACTTGGAGGAACATTGTATCATCAATGCTAATTACCATGGGGAAAAACATTACTGACTGCATAAATCCAAAGGGGCCCGCTGTTTTCAAAAAAACTCAGGACCCACCTCCGCTTTTCCCAAGTCGACTGGCTTGCGCCTGTGCGTTGTACTGTCAGCTCTCGCCACCAAGATCCGAACAACACCCCTAATTTGAAGTCCTCCAACAACAGATGTACACATTGTGTATGAATGCCAGGAGGATCTCCAACAGAGATCACAATCTTGGGAATGGCGGTAAAGGATCTACGCCCAAACTCTGGCAGTTGAAGCTGGGGGTTGAGGGTCGGAGGCTGAGGTATATCTTGCCATTTAAGATGATATGCAATTTATATCAAGTAAACAACTCTTCGAAAGGCTCCCCTTACCTCCGTTGTTGCCTCTGTTGCTGCCACTGTGATAGATAGTTGTGCCACGCAGATCCCCAACCCTGATGGGTGTAGGGGTATAGTCAAGGATCCCAAGTTCGAGAAAGTCTTATCAAATGAGGTTCAACGAAACTCAGGTCCTCGTCCCCGCCATGCGCTAGATGTAATCGAGTCCTTATTATGAGGATCCCCAGGCAGGACAATATTGAGAACCCCCCCTTGCCCCATCATGGGGTCTGTCAGAACAAGGACCCCCATGCTTGACTCAGCACCTGAGCATATTCCGTAGGAAGGCGCTTGCAAAGCCTCATTTCAGAGACTGCCCCGTGAGGGCACCTCCATAAACAAGAATTGCTGATAAGCTGTGCTTCTTGATTAGGACCTGTCACACTTTGAAACACAAGCCCGAACCTTGAAACGTTCAACCCGAGCATGCCTAAGTCAAACCTCTGACACGCTAAACGCTAAACGCCAAACCCTTCAACCATAGACCCATTAACCCTAGAACCCTCAACCTCTCAAATCCTAAGCCATATTGCATGGCCTGTTTTTGGTGGTTGGTCCCATTAAGATTATTTCCTTTCATACATACTTTACCCCAATCGGAGGATATAATCTTACTCTACACTGGGGACTATAACATCCCCACATGAAATATTAAACCCATTGCGAATGGACCTGAAACTTCACACTTAGAACTACAGTTAGCCTACCTACTTCTACCTATCAACCCAGGGTGCGCAAGGCATGAGGCTTGAGGGCATTCCTTTCAGAAACCTCATACCCAAACCGTTATCGATCAACTCTGGGGTCCAACTCCACTCCCTACAACCTAACCCGTGCATCGCGATCGCGACTCGCTACACCCTAAGCCCTAAAGCCTAAGGCCTGAACCCGTGTCCCCAACAAGCCTTGAACCCTAATCCCTAAGCCCCAATCCCCATATGCCTTGCGATTCCTGAGCCCTTCTGACCCTACTCCCGAAGCTCTAATCCCTAAGCCGTATTCCTGCAAGTCGGAAGGTTTTCTTCAGCCTGCTCCTTGTCCTGGAGATCCTTGGCTAAGCTGTAGAGGTGCTGCTCCTCCTGAAGCAGGCGCAAAGGATGTACCGCAAAAGCCTGAACAAAGACCGATCTCATGTAGAGGTCTATTTGGGATACCCTGGCCGTTACCATCACTATGTAAGGTATCTATGACAATAATACTGGAAACTACTCAGGCCCCCCTGTAGTGGGAGGTTTGGGGTTTACTACTCCGCAGGTTATCCTTCAATGGCCCATCCTCGGATTTCAGGCGGTGAATGGGCCCTGGTTATCATCATGCATCCGCTTACGAATGAGCCTCTCGGATGATTACTGCAATTCCAGATGCTCATGCTATTTGGGGGGTTCCCAAAATTATGGGGTACCTTTTTGGGAGTCCCCATAATAAGGACTATAGTATTTTGGGGTCTATATTGGGGTTCCCCTATTTTGGGAAACTACCATTCCCTTATTTGACCTTCTAATGCGTGGGGTACCCTTCCACACCCGTAGAAATGCCGGAGCATCGTTGACCGCCAACTCATACGCCGACAGACGCATCGGGAGGTCCAGTGAACTCCCCCGGAAGCTCGCCAAGGAAACACCAAAAACCCTGAGCCCCCAACCCTGACACGGAAAACCCCAGATCTCACACCCTTCCCTAAAACCCTAACCACCAGATCCCTAAGCTCTAAACCCTAAATCCCCAAACTAGCAAGTCTCACAGGTTCTTAGGAGGGAAAAAGGGCATATGTTCTACAGGGATGATATAGGGATGATATAGGGAGTTTATTCCCTTATTCCCCACTAATCCTTAAACCCTAAACTATGTATGCCGTTTCTCCCACTATTTTCCCACTAAGAACCAGTAAGTTTATCGTAAGAGACTAAGAATTAAGCGAGCAGTTCCAAGATGGAGGAATGCCTCCTCAGGAGATAAGGATCGCGTGGCAGATGCAGAGCCATCCTAGCATGTTGGCGGTTTAGGGTTTAGGGTTGAGGTTCCCCCTTTTAATTACAGGGGATATACCGATAAGCAGGGATGTATAGGCATTGGGGAATTGGTGCAGAATCAACTGAAAATAGAAAATCGCAAGTCAAAAGAAGCTGGGTCAGCATTTTGTAAGATTGCATGTAGGGCCTTGTTTAGACAGAATAGAGTTGTGGGGCACATCATAGAATAGCTCTATATGTCTATATACTGCGCCGGGCCGAAAGTTCGACCCACTC